CCTTCAGACAGTAGTTGTTTTGGTCCCATTTGTTTTGCTTCCACATTCCACAGGTCTGAAGAAAGATTTTGATCAGTGGGACGCTCTCGTAGATGGCGAAGGACATAATGTCATTCCTGGAACCAACATTGATCTACCCTCAACTCAGCCTGAAACACTAGAATGAAGAAACTGATAATACCATGCATACTAAAGCACTTAAGTCTTCAACAAGATCTTACTTAGTAGTACTGCTGGTCAGCTACTTCCCACAGCTACACCGTTTTTCTTTCTCTTACTGTGCCTCACAGTCACCTGTATTAATATCTCATTGCACTTTGATAAAAGAGTTGCAGGGGTTTAAATTCATACCAGCCTATAAACTTACTCTTTAAAATACTAGAATAAACTTTTGCTTTCTACCAATTAAATATTAAATCAGCTATTAGATGGATGTCTGGCTCTAAATTAGGAAAGAAGCAGTGTTGCCTAGTGTTTACATCAGGCGACTTTTGTTCTGGCAAGAGTTTGAGCAAAATGTTTAACCTCTCTGCTCTTCAGCATCTCCATCTTTAACATGGAGACAATACCTAACCAGCATATCCGATGCTCTGAGCTCTCCAGCTGTAGAGTGCTACATAAGTACTAGAAAAAAAATTTAGTAGGCCTAAGTTAGCTTGACGTCAAGAATATCAAACGGGAAGCCCAGATTCAGTTTCTTAAGATTCTGATCCCAAATGGAGATATTTTGTAAAATCCATTTCCACCAGCTACCAGCACCACTGGAAGCCTCCGGAGAGCAATTGTTCTTGGGAGAGTTCCTGTAAGATTTCTGGAAGTTTGGCTCTTCTTGTGAAGTTTCAGTTCCATCTGAACTGCAAAATGAAAGAAGGCTCCTTCTAGTTTTGGATTTGACCCAGAACCAAAATTGCCAGGATAGATTGGGATCTAGGGACTTTAATCACAGTTCTGCCTCCCAAAATTCAAACCAGTTTGGATTGTAGGTGCCACATATGGTATATTTAGTAGTTATATAGTTTAATAACTGATTCTGTTTTTAGAAGCCACACTGCACATGCTTAAGCATTCCTGCCATGCTCTAGGAAACCAAAACTGCACACAAATTGGCTGAAATGTTTCCCCTCAAATGACAGACTAATAGAATTTGTCAAGATTACAAAACACATGGAGCACTTGGGTTGGATTTTCCCAAGCAGCTAAGTGACACAAGCACAAGTCATCGGGACTTGTGCACCTTCTCCATGCAGCTTTTGTCTGCTTTGTAATCATCAGTTGGGGATGAGGCTGATCCTGGAGAGAAAACTGAACTCTCGAGGCAGCGTAGTCTTCATTTTTAAGAGTAATTCTTTTGTGTTCATATACGTTTTCCTGCTTCGTACAAATGCCATCTCAACATATTGAGACATGCACAATTACTATTAGGGATGCTTTTTTACATGTTATAAGAAAACTGTAGCCTAGTTCCAGGACAAGTTGCAGTTTTCTGACATGGTGTGTGCCACTCCAATACAAATCTATGTTTTCAGCCATAAACAAGCCCTTGAACTGGAATTTGCTGTACAAAGGGGAAATAGAAAAATTTACTTTTAAGCTACATTATCTCCAACTGAAAATTGTGTTTCCTTCCCCCCAAGGGGTCATTTTGTGTCTGTTAGAACTCAGGAGCGCTCCTTTTTAATTCCCCCCCAAATAAACACCTCCCCCCTCATAGAATCACTATTCTGGCAAAGGACAACTGAACTTTCATAGAGCCATTAGCAGTCAGAGGAAGAGAGCTTTAAGACCATGTCTATTGCACAGATAGAGTACTGTTCCCCAGTACTCAGTAGAGAACCTGTGGAGTGACCTAGGGGCAGGCCATTAGCCCCAGTGCTGTGATAAAATTTCATTTTTAAAACTGCCAAACAGTCATTATTTGTGTTATGTACACGAGTTCCCCAGCCACATTACCACCTACTAGAGATGGTCTATTCCCAGTTCTGCCCATGGCATTGTCACCTTCCCCTTGCTCCCACCCTGCCATTTGGCACAAGTAATTGACACACATACTTCCTCGTCAATACCCATTTGGTTGATATATTTAGAATGCTATAGCTATGATGCCATCTGCATGATCAGCCACTGCCCTTTCCCTTCTATCTTCTCTAGAAGGCATCGTCTGACAGTTTTGTTTTCATAGCTGTGGCAAGTAGCAGCTATAGTACTCCTAGGCTATATCCACACTACAGACCTTACAGCAGCACTGCTGTACTGCTACAACTGTGCTGCTGTAAGGTCTCCCGTGAAACTGCTCTTTGCCAGCAGGAGAGTGTGATGGGTTCGGTCACAGAGACCCCCTTGGGACTGTCACATGATGTGCTGAAACTACCTCTGAGCCAGTTTTCCCTGATGGCTTGGGACTCCAGAACCCTGCCTTGTTGAGCCAGGCACGTTAGCCTGCTGCAACACAGACCCAGGGTCTGAACCTCACCCCAAAGCTGCAAACTTAACTGAATACAGCTCAGCAAGTACTCTTGACTCCAGCACGCAGACACCCAGCTCCCAATGGGATCCAAACCCCAAATAAATCTGTTTTACTCTGTATAAAGCTCAAATTGTCCGCTCTCTAGAACACTAATAGAGAGAGATGCACAGCTCTTTGCTCCCCCCAAAGTATTAAGCACTTACTCCGGGTTAATTAATAAAAAAAGTGATTTTATTAAGTATAAAAAGTAGGATTTAAGTGGTTTCAAGTAACAATAGACAGAACAAAGCAAGTTACCAAGCAAAACAAAACACACAAGTCAAAGCCGAATACATTAGGAAACTGAATACAGGTAAATTGTACCCTTAGAGATGTTCCAATAAGCTTCTCTAACAGACTGGACTCCTTCCTAGTCTGGGCCCAATCCTTTCCCCGGCACAGTTCTGGTTAGTTTCAGCTCAGGTGGTAACTAGGATTTCTCATGACTGGCAGCCCCCCTTGTTCTGCTCCACCCCCTTTTATAGCATTGGCCCAAGGCGGGAATCCTTTGTCTTTCTGGGTTCCCATCCCTCCTAAATGGAAAAGAACCAGGTTTAAAATGGATTCCAGTATCATATGACTGATTGTCAATGGGATTTGTGTTCCTAAATCACAATTGCAAGGAAAAATCCTACAGCTTTGTAGAGAATCTACCTTACCTGATTATGGCACAAAACATGTTTTCATCTTAATCTTACCAAACTTGTTAGAATTCTGACATATTACTCATAGCATGGCAGCATGCCTTTGCCTTTAAGAGAAAATGGTAATATTTAATGAAACTTTCTCTGTTCCATAGCAGTTTCCACACATGCAACAGAAAATTTATTTCACTCACTGTGCTTACAATTCTATTTGAAGGTTTTGTCCCTACTTGTAAAGTGAGAACAAGCGAGTCAGTACTTTTGCATACACATTTGCAGTGTTTGGAAACATTTAGAACAGTGCCAGATGTTGGAACTGGATAATGGGGGATGGATCACCCAAATTGCTCTGTTCTGTTCACTCCCTCTGCAGCATCTGGCACTATCCAGTGTTGGAAGAGGATACTGAGCTAGATGTACTCCTGAGGGAATTCTGTGCCAAAAAAGTTAAAAATTCTGTTCACAATATTTTAAAATTCTGCATATTTTGTCAACAAACATGGAGGCTCCAGCATGGCAGTGGGGAGCACAGTCCACTGGCTGCACGGAGGTGGAAGATCACCCTGCAGTGCTGCCTCCACCCCACTCCCAACACAGACTTGGCCATGAGGTTGACCCAACTTTGACAGTGCAGGGGCCAGGCCTGCCCCACAAACACCCCAGGGCCCTGTCCCTCCATGCTAGGTGCACCAAAATAGTAAGCAAGAGGGACAGTCTCTCACACATGCCCAACTCTGGCCCCCGATCCAGGTGTGGGGCAAGAAGGCTCAGGCTGGCAGGATCCAAGTGTGGAGGGGTTTAATGTGAGGGGATCCAGGTGCAGGGTGAGAGGGTTCTGTGTGGGGTAATCTGGGTATGGGTGGCTTAGTGGGGGATCTGGATACAAAGGGGCTTGTTGAGGGGTTCTGAGTGCAAGGGGAATGGCACTCTGAAGGTGATGCTGGGGGAGTGGGGCTTAGTGTGGTGGAGGTCCAGGTGCAGTTGGTTGGGCTCAATGGGGTGGGCACCTGGGTGCAGGGGGAAAATGGGGATAGTTTGGGTGCAGGGGGTGGGGGTCTGGATGCAGTGAGGATGACCTTGATGGCAGGGTCCAAATGTGGGGAGTGAGGCTCAGCGGGGGGAAAAGAGGGTTCAGGTGCAGGAGGGCTCTGGATGCAGGGGATGAGGTTCAGCAGGGTGGGGGTTCGAGTGCAAGGAATTCTGTGGGGGGGATTCTAGGTATGGGGGGGTCTAGATGCATGTGGGATGAGCAATAGGGGCAAGCAGTAAGAGGGGGTGCAGAGCTTCCTGCAGTCAGGGGAAGTTTCTGGGGGTGAGTCTTATCTGGCCCCGGCGGCTCCTTGGTAAGGGAAGAGGAAGTTCTGGCCTCCCCCCACCACTCCTCAGCCCAGCCAGGACTTGCAGCTGAGCCCAGCACAGGGTAGGAGCCAGCGGCTTGGGTGTGCCCAGCCCATTCCCAAGGTGATTTGCCTCTCCGCCAACTGCTCCAGGTGCCCGAAACGACATACCCGCACTGCTGGGGAGGGTTGCATGACCACTCTTGTGGCTTCCCTTTGCTTCCCCGTCATTTTCTGTGGGGAAGCAAAGAAATCTGCAGAGGACATGAATTCTGTATGCGCGCAGTGGTGCAGCATTGCCCCAGGAGTATAGATGGACCCATTCATCTGACCCAGTATGGCCATTCTTATGCTCTTACGTTTAATATTCCTGGGGTGCTCTGTTACTTATTGGCCCTGTTTTTAAAAAGTGTGTTCATCCAACAGATTGTAGTCAATTAATTATAGATAAAGGAAGTGTCCCTTATACACTAAAGAAAGTAGTGTAGTGGAGAAATCTAAAAGATCAAGACAAGATAACAATGCATCAGCATCAGCTTTATTCCAGCTTGTTCCATAGTTAGTATAGTAGTATAAATGCAGAGTTCAAACTGAAGTAAATATTGTTTACCATAAAGAGAACAAAACATTCAAAGTAACTGGTGCAAAATATCCTCTAATTTTTTTTTAGGAGAGCTTTTCTAACAAAGAAATCTTCTCAGTGTTCATCAGAAAGCAGTGTTGCATAACGTACAGTCGTTTGTATACATCTGAATAACCTTCATTTAAGCAAACCCAAACTTAAATCAGGTATAGTTCCAATAGAAATAAAGAGTTTAAGCAATCTACATATGCAAAAATTTTAACAACAATCTAGTTATTACAGCTACTGGTGCAAAAGACTAAAACATTCAATAGCTGAAACGCCACTGGTCAAGGGCTGCCCAAATTCTTACTTAAACGAAGGCAGCGCAATTTTAAGAAGCTAGATGCCAGCACTATCAAAACATCTATAGATTCCATGTAGGCATTTTGTTGTCTTACACAAGTGTGAAGTGCTATTACAGAAATATAGCATACAAGTTAGACATTATTTGCTCAGCTGCTTGAAAACCATGCTCAAAATACTTCTACAATGTATAACTCAGTCATCTCGGGAAAATACGTGGTCATAAGACTTTTCTTCTCCAACACGTGACGATAGTGAACTAGACGCCTTACTCTGTGGTATTTTCAGGACTGCTGGACAACATATATGGGTCAACCATTACATCTGAGCCACAACTAGCCCTTTTTTCTAGGAAAAGAGGAAAGAAAGACAGAGGTAAGAATAGGACCATGAAGATCCAAAAATATACTTACGCTGTAACAGTCACTAAAGAGTGTGACCTGTATGTTTTTTGGTAGTCTGAAAGACTAGTACAATTTCAGACTAACTTTGTCTACTTCATGGTCCTGTACTAAGTTTACCCCAACAATCACACATTTGAAAGACTATTGTGTACAATTAATATCTATTAACTAAGGCAGCTGGAACTTTAGTCAAAGGTGAAGTGATTCAGCTGGATGCAAGTGTGCGATGTTTACAAGACAGTCTTCAGTTTAAGAGCTAACCCATTCCACCTGCAGGTGGAACATGATAGTCATAGTAGATATTTAAAAAAGTAGTTTAAGATAGTGTTTTATCAATAAAACGTTGATTCTGGTAACATGTACAGTTTGGATCAGTCATTCAGATACTGTGACATTCTGTGGATAGATCAGTTTGTATCTGAAGGTTCTTTAAAGTTAAAACAGTCATTAACAGGACTGAATGAAAGGGAACCGGCCACCATTTGCAGACTTATACACATTTGACTAAGATATTCTGATTAGACCTCGCTTGCTCTCTCATATGCATGCACACAATTTTTTTTTGTAAACACAGAAAAACTGTTAATAGACATTACAGTTAGAAAGTCAAGCACTCGAGAGTTAGGAAATACCAGCATGATGGTTACCTGTGCACTCCTTGTGCATATGCATTCTGATGGTCTAATTACATGATAAGAGGACCCTTGCTTCATTCTATGCACAGGATGGATGATGCTCAATGATCAGATATTCAATATTTTATTTTATCCTTATATAATGCACACTATTCATACTCTGCTCTGAAGACAGGATTATTAATTCCTCTATGGCACTCTTGGGGAGGGTGGTAATATCTGCATTTTACACATGAGGAGTTGAGACAGAGGCCTGGTCCCCACTAAGTCCCCACTTCGGACTAAGGTATGCAAATTCAGCTACGTTAATAACCTTCGAAGTACCTTAGTCCGAACTTACTGCGGTCCAGACGCGGCAGGCAGGCTCCCCCGTCGATGCCGCGTACTCCTCTCTTAACCAGACGCGATAAATCGATCCCAGAACATCGATTGCCTGCCGCCGGACCCTCCGGTAAGTGAAGACAAGGCCAGAGAATAATGTCAAAGGTATCAGCTAGTTTTGGGTGCCCTGAGACACCTAGGATCTGATTTTTCAGAGTACTTAGCATTATATAGCACTCTACAAGTTCAAAGCACAGCTTCTATTGAGCATTCACATCTACTGAAATCAACACATCAGAAACCAGGGCCTCAATTTGGGCACCCAGAAAATGGAACACAATTAGCGACTGCCTGTGGAAAGTTTGGTTTAAGAGCATCCCACTGTAACCCCAGCATCACATAGGGACTCTATGGCACAGGCAAAGATAGAATCTGGTTCTTCAGGGTAGCATTCACTTACCTCGATCACCAGACCCATTTTCTCTTCCTGCAATGCACTGCCTCATTCACTACACACCTTTCAACTTCTGCAACAAATAATGCAGCAGAAGTTGAAGAGACAACAGTCTCCTTTACCACACAATCCTAATTCATCCCCAGAGCAAGACCATCCTGTACACTGAATGAGGCAAAGGACCTGTGGAAAAAATAATTTGTGATCATGTAATTAAAGACCATAAGAATGCATATGCACAAGGGGGCCAAATTAAGGTTGCATCTTAAGCGTGGCATTTCCTCACTTTTGAGGGCTTGACATTGCAGCCTCAATAATTTTTTTCAATGTAGTTTTGTGTGTAATTTCTCGGGTTTTCAGAAAACAAACTGAAAAGACAAACAAAAAAACAGAAATGCCTTCACATGGCATGTGACCCATCTAGATGTCAATAAGCAGTGTTGGAACCTTTCAATCACCTTTCAATCCACCACAGATCTCTGTCACTTGAACTAATGGAGTGCCTGATAGCAGTAGTAGGTTGCCATCCTCTATGTGTACATTACAGTACTGAAAAAAAAAGAATCCTGGCAATAAACCAGACAAACTTAAGTAAACCGATGCTAGTTGTAGGAAGGTCTATTATACACCTTTGACTCAAATGAGAAAAGCAGATTAGCTAATAGCTTTTTCAGGCACTGTAAAAAGGCAGGAAGAAAGTATCACCAGCTAAGCTTTTTATTTCTAGTATCAGTCAACAAGTTGGCAAGTTAAACCCCATCAGCTCAAAGAAAAAAACAGAAGGACATAAGGGTTTCTTGTACTTTTTTTTGTAAGAAAGAACAAAAATAAGGAAAGAGCTACAAAGAGACCACGTGCCTCAGGTGATCAGTAATGGATACAAAGACTTCCATGTGACAGTCACTACCATTTTACAAAGATTTGGGACCTACAAGACCTGACTTAGTGATCACAGTTCAATTCTCCAAGTGGAAAAGTACGAAGAGATAGCCATAACTGGTACACTCAGCAGAAAGGCCAAGGATTTGACCAGGCATGAAAACAGAACTATTATTTCCCCTTAGGGATAGTCCTCCCAGACAAGGCAATATGCGGGGGTCTTGCACTGTTACTGCCTGTGCTGTACCTGCTAGTGAAGAACCCAAAAAATTATTCCAAAGTGACCAGTTAGTCCAATTGCATTTCACAGCTGGAAGTTATTCTGTTTATAATATACTAGAATATTATGCTTTTAGCTTTTTGAAGCAAAAGACAGATACTTAACATCCAACTAACAATGAACTCTTCATATGGCAGGAGTTTAGAAAGAAAAATTGAAGTACTACCTTTCAACTCTGAGCCCTCCACTGATAACTTGCACTCCTTATCTGTCACATGGAACGCTGCCTAAAACAAAAATAAAAACAGGTTCTGTTGAAAGGGACAAAAGCACAACTGCTTAAATACTTTTGTATCTGCATCTGATTTAAAAGTAGACTGATTTTTATATTAACACTCAGGTATTCACTCATGCTCAGGTATGAAAATTATTTTCCTATCTCAACCACTAGAACTAGCTTTGTGTCCATCTTATTTCTTCAAGCCAGTCTTCTGTTGCAGGAATGAAGAAGCAGAAAATTGATTCCACCACCTTCTTCATAATAATCAACATCTGTGACAAATGACTCTGGCACAATTCAAGATTAGGTTCCTGGACGTAATGCCATAACAGCACTGTCCTCAAAGCAAAATACAAATGCAAGACCTCTTTAAGATCATTTCTATTACTAAATAGTTATGAAATATTTCACATTGTTCCTTGTGCAATGTTTCTTTAAGTTCTTTGTTAGCACTATACTGTCAGAATTGATGCACCAATAGCATTATTCAGAACTGCCAAGTCTGACAGCAATAAGCAGCTTCTGCACTTGCTGATATTCCTTCTGTGTTTATTCACTTTCAATATCACCTGTTTTCTGGAACTGGATTTCACACAACCCAAAATATTCCTAATCAAAACAACAGGCTGAGGGCTAGCCAGTTATACTCCACTCTTCAGGTTTTAAAAAAGGAGGGCCACAGAGGTCACGTAGACACTACAGTGTATCAGGCAGTCTGATGAACTTTAACATTCAGATTTTCCAGATAAAGGTTGGATAGGTGGGTGGGCGTAGGTGTCATCCCTCATGGTCACACAAAGATTACAACTCATAATTCCAGACACTTGATATTTTATCTCCATTAGGTTTCCCCAAATATTTACCAAGAGCAATAACACTGTACCTCATATGGACTCTTCGTCACTTCAGGAATGCCATTCCAAACATGCTCAGGATTCACTATCTCCTCATTGCCAGTAGAGAGATTCAAAACCTGTTCAGATAAGACATTAACCTTAGTCTAGCAGGTATTACCAGTTCTACAGAATACATAGAACACAACACAACCCATTAATGGAAAAAAAGTCCACAACTGGCATATCATGTAAAGTATACAATCCCTGTAAAATGAAAGGGAGAAAGAGTATGTAGTGTTCAGTTTCTGGTTTAGACATTTATTTGTCTAAAGTGCATAATCAGATATCTGCAGCTACTCTTCAAAACCATTCAAAATCAAACTAGGAAACAAAGCTTTAATAGAAAGTTCTTGAAAACCTTTACATTGGCACCTCCTGGCATCCACTTACCAAGTGAATTTCCATTGAGTAAGTCAATCTCCCAATACAAAAGGCAACTGTAACTCTGTATTCTAGAAATCCAGAAGCAGCAAGCAACGCTAACCACAGTAGAACCTCAGAGTTACGCTGAGAATGGAGGTCGTTTGTGTTTGTAACTCTGAAAAAAACGTTATGGTTGTTCTTTCAAAAGTTTACAACTGAACATTGACTTAATACAGTTTTGAAGCTTTACTATGCAGAAGAAAAATGCTGCTTTCCCTTTATTTTTTTAGTAGTTTGCGTTTAACCCAGTATTGCACTGTATTTGATGTGGGTTTTTTTGTTTTGGTCTCTGCTGCAGCCGGATTGTGTATTTCCAGTTCCAAACGAGGTGTGTGGCTGACTGATCAGTTCATAACACTGGTGTTCGTAACTCTGAGGTTCTACTGTAACTGTTTTAATCTCTGTAACTGGAACCTCTCTAGTAATCTGAGAGTCTGGAGAACGTGGGATGCACATAGAGCAACTAAAGCATTTCTAATATACGTGGAATCTTTTCTACACATGGAGAGAGCTCTGAAGTCCTCCTTACCTTGGTGCCTTCATCAGATATCTCCAAAATCCGAGCCTCACACCACTTCAGACATGTCCACACCATACATTTGGAGCCAACAGCAAACCCCTCTAGATTACAGGCATGCTCACTTTGCTCTACAAGATTTGAAATGTCACCAAAATTTGCTGTAACAGTTTTAGACTTGATTAAAAACTGTCAATGTATTTAACTGCCTCTGCCAGCTGTCTTTTCTGTCTCTGTTTGCAGGTAAGAAACTACTCCTATTTGTTAGAGTTAGTAATGGACAAATTTTACAGGAGATATTTGCAGTGCTAACTCATTACTAAAACCCAGGAATTTAAGAGGTTTTAAGGGTGGAACAGATGTAAATCAAGAGTGTCTCATGGACCACAACACTGTTCATATATTATTCCTTTAGCAACTATAGCACTTTCTATGCACTTTACCTCACAGTCCTCATTTCCCCATCTCCTCCCCACGTCTAATCTTAAAATGTAGACTTATTACAATTAGTTTCTTCTCCAAAACACACCCCAAGTCAAATATTTTATGAAAAATTAAGCTACATTTTGCATTTGCAACTGATTTTTTAAAACAAATGTTACTGTGCTGTACAGTTTGATTCTATAGCTCTTTAAAATAATTAAGGTACATACCTGCACCATGACCAGCTAAAGTTGCATCCTGCTTTTCTCTTATTTCAATTTCTTCTTCATCTGAGGGGTTATGCCTCAAGGACTCCCCACTCACAAGAATAGTTTTATACTCTCTGAACACTTTATGCAAGTCTGATTCCATCTGTTCTGCACAACTCTTCTCTTGCAAAGTTAGCCATTTCTTACATTTTTCACCTCTGCTATCAGCTTGTCCTACACCACACAGCTCTACAGGGCAAGTAGACACTTGTTTTTTTAAGTCAGTTTTGGGGAATGAAAGCTGATCTGCACTATCTACAGAAAGCTCTAAATTAGATGGTTCCAACTCTAGATGGTCCTTCCTTGTTTCATCACCAAGAGAAGCCTGCACTTCCAATGGCATCAGTTCCAATACCTCTTTTCTTTCATCACCAAGCAAAGACTGTACTTTGTGCATCTCTGGTTCCAGCTCCTTTCTGGCTCCATTACTAAGTAAAGTTTTTACTAGGGCAGACTCCACTTCCAACTCAGTTGGTACAGCTTTCATTTGATGAACTTCAAGCAAGTCCAAGTCCCAATCCACTCTCTCCTTTGTTTCTTCACCCAAGGAAATCTGCTCCTCACATGGTATCAGTTCAAATAGTTTCCCTCTTTCATCACCGCATACAGTCTGTATTTCAAGTGATGACTCCATTTCCAACCAATTCTCTCTATTACTAAATGAAGGTGACACTTCAAGTGATTTCAGGTTCATTAGCTCCCCTGTTTCATCATCCAAAAGCTGTACTTGGAGTGATTCCAGTTCTGACAATTTTTCCTTTGTTTCATCGGTCAAGGAAGTCTGCATTTCTAATGACTCCAGTTCCAGAATCTCTTCTTTTGTTTTGTCACCCAAGGAAGGGTACACTTCGAGTGACTCTAGCTCCAGTAAGAGCTTTTTTAGTTCATCAAGTGAAGAGTGCATTTGTAACTGCTCCATTTCCAACAGCTTCACATTCTCATCCAGGGAAGGATGCACCTCAGCTGATGGAAGTTCCAACTGCTCCTTTCTTTCTTCACCCAGGAGAGACTGTACTTCAAGTGATAATTCTAACGTCTCTGCTTTGAGTTCGTCATCCTCCAAGAACTGTGCTTCAGATGGCTCAAGATCTAAGTCCTTTGTTTCACTATTGGCAAGAAGCTGTGGTTCAGATGTTTTTGGTTCTACATATACCTTTGTTTCGCTTTCACTCTCTTTTTTCACTAAAGGATTCTCCACTTTATTAAGTATTTCAAAATTGGTCTGATGCTCATTAGCAGTTTTGAGAATCGCTTCTTCAATTCCTGCAGTATTTAGACATCCATTGTCTGTCAGGTGGAATGGTTCTGCACAGTGTAAAGCATCCTGCAGAGCACTATTTTCTTGCTCGGCATCTCCAGTAGAAGCCGCAGCTCTTTCAAGGCAAACAGCACCTGTATTATCTGTCCCTGGACCCTCATTCTTTTCACTGAAAGCGTTCTGAATGTTTGCCAAAGTCGTGTCAGTGTTATACTGCCAAAAACGTTTCATCTCCTCATTAATGTTTTTTCCGTTACATTCCAGTTTAACAACAGATAAGGGAATTTCAGAAGAGTTATCCTTTTGTATTTCCATTACTGTGACCTCTAGTAAATATTCTGCAGTCATGTCATAGAACTTGTCTTTTGCTTCATTACTCCATGAACCCTCTGGGGAATTAAATCCAGATAGACAGCATGGAAATGCTTGCATAGGTATTGTAAGCAATTGATCAGGAATTTGTCTAATCATCTCTCTGCCAACAAGTTCCTCAGATCCATAATCCACATGTCTGACAGTTAGGTTGTTACCTTTTACGCTGCTAACTTTTGCTCTGTAAAGTTTTCCATCTTCACTATACTTTGCTATGCAAATATCACCACTTCTAAGACTAGACCTGAAGTCATCCACACTGCTTATTTCAAGTTCTCCAGTTTCCTGTAGTTTTTTTTCTAAGTAGTTTATATTATCTGCGTCAGCCATTTGACACCAAAAGTATTCTGGGCCCTTTACAACAGTGACATAGGTTTCTACAGTCTGAGCTACCTCTGGAATCTTCCAGAAGAATGATTTAGTGTCAGTTATACTAGAAGCTTTATTTTTCTCTTCAAAAGACAGAGGTTCACACTGATTTGCCACATCAGCACCACTCTCTCTTCTGTCAAGTGCTTCTGTTGACTGAGATTCTTCTCTCATTCTAAAGGTTTCATTAATCAGATCCACTGCTATCATACCTTGCTCGTCATAGAGAACAATTTCCCATCTGTCTTTGAGTTTCTCTACAAATTCACAGTTTATTTTAACTTCACTTGTTCTTTCTGAAAAATAACTCACCGCTTCCTGTGTCCAATTTGTAAACTCTTTAGACTGAACTCCAGCCAGTGAAGAATGAATACTCATCATTGGAATTGATGAATATTTTTCAAGCAGTCTATTTGTTTCACAAACATTAACTACGGAAGTGTTGCCATAATCTATATATTGTACACTTATCTGTTCATCAGATAGTTTTTCTTTTACTACAGCTCGATACCACAAGCCATCTTCTGAAAAAACAGCACCAATTAAGTCTCCTACTTGCATCTGTTGTTGACTGAGACTCTCTGTTCCTGTTTTATTGTTTAATCCTTCTGAAATATTGTTAAGTTGAGGTTCATCACTTGCTAATTGAATATAAAAATCTGAAGGGTTATTTACATGAGAAATGTATACTAAAGTCTTCAGACCAGGCACTAAGTTCCTTGGAGGCAAGTCACATATGCTTTTAATTGGGAAAAGTATACTATTTTCTCCTTGATTTCTAGTTTTAACAGTATCAGGTTTAATATCAGACTTTATCTCTTTCTTTATAAAGGGTAAAGATTTATTTTCATCTACTTTTTTACCTACTAACGAAGTACTTGCTGAGGGAAAAACTTTGTTACTGTTAAATCTTTCCACAGATCCTAGAAACTTGGTTGACAACTCTCTTTTTGCAGCAGGTTGGAAGTGTTTTACATCCTTACATACAAAGCTGGTTTTGGTATTGCAGTCTTCTCCTTGGATTTCAGATCTCCAAGTTTTATTCTCAGACTTTCTCATGTATGTTGATGATGACTTCATGTTTTCATTCCTCTCTTTAGCATTTATGTTTTTAGAATGTAGAGTTTCATTTTCTACATATTTGTTAGACTCTCTATTTCTTGGTAAGCTTAAACTCTCTTTAATTTTTGCATTAATTTGAATATTGCCATCATACAGTTCAACTATCAGCCTTCCATCAGATTCTTTTGCTACCACTATCATCTTTAAAGGCTTATGCAAGACAGCGGTTTCAAACCATGTGGTAGCTTCTTTCGGTACATTAGAGATATCAGATAGTGAACATTTTATAGCTTGCATTGGCAAAAGTAAGATATCATATGCATCACTAGGTATAGGAATCAAGTCTTCTTTCTTTACCACCTGTGTATTCCCAAAGTCTACAAAGATGACTTCTTTATTAGGCTTGGTTTTCAAAACTGCTCCTCTGTACCAGTGATTGTCAGTATACCTTGCAAGATATAGGTTTCCAGGGTTTTGTGACATTTTTAAACTGTGCAGTACTTTGCTTAGTCGACCAATGTTATGTGTGAGCAGTTCTAGGACATTTGCACTTCTGGCAAGTTGGCAGTAAAATTTCCATGGATTGTCAACATGTGTTACATAAATCTCTTCTTCACTTCCAATTTTGATGTCATGTGTAGAATAATAGTAAGAGTGTAGCTGAATGGTGGGTGCCAGAGGTTTTTGAGGCGGTACAGGTCTGGCCAACCCTTTCTCGGTTAAAAAATGGCACACACTCTGAAAAGGTGTAATTAAGTCCACAACATTAAACAGCTCTTTATTGTTTATGGCAGCTAGAGCAAATATTGTACACTTCAGTTCCAAATGATCTGCTGTGTCATCAACAAACTCCTGAAAAGCTTGGATTGCTTTTTCATCCCAAACAAAAGGATCCTGACCATTTGGTTGGATTAAATTATAAAGGCTGCATCTGAAAGCCTGAGCCTTTAATTTCAGAAAGTTTGCATTAATTGAGCAGAGATTCTTTACAGAAACCAGCTCCTTGTTCCCATAGTCAACATATATTACTTCTACCTGTTCTGTAGAACACTCTCCACTAATAATCAAAGCTCTGTACCATTTCTCATCCTCCGAATACTTAGCTAAACACACTGGACTTGCCCAACAATGTGGCTGTGCTGAAGTCTTGCAATAATCCTGAATTTCAGCCATTAATGACTCAAGTTCTTGGTTGTTTCTCCTCAACTGACACCAAAAGTAGCCAGGACTTTCAACATAAGATATTATCACCTGAACTGTACTACCAACTTTCAGCTGACCTTCATAAGGAGATCCTGGTTTTATTTCCAAGTAGTACTGTATAAGAGAGGAGGGCAGATTTAGGTTTCCCTTAATTTTTTTTTCATCAGGAGCTGAGTCACTTGATAAATGGCAATTTTCTGCAGTAGGCTGGTCTTTGACTGTCAAAGGCACAGAGGGATTCAGCGCTATATTGTCTCTTATTGTTTTGGTTTGCACGCCACTCTTCCTGGCTGTTGAACTTACTAGCTCCCCCTCGCCAGCATATTCTTTGGGATCCTGCCTCAGAGACTGAGCAGATAACTTCTGAAGAGTGTCTGGAATCTCAGACCCTTGGAATTTTGCATAGCCTCCTTGGGACAAAATTTTGCTTATATTTTTCTCCCCTGTTTGAGACTGGTCAAGAACTTCAATCACATGCTTGTCACCCTGCGTACCCAACACCTGGATCACCAGCTCTTTGCTCTGCACTGCCCTTTTAAAGTGAGCCACAGACTCTTTACTCCATGTCTCTCCCAGGGGAGACACATCTGCCAAACAGCACTTCAAAGCTACAGCAGGCAGCTCCCTGAACTGAGGCAGCAGCTCCTTTACCTCATACCAATCCAAGATCTCTCTGTTGCCTCTATCCACCAGGTGCACTTCCACCCCATTCCCCAGCACACTGGTGATAACAGCCCGATAGTAGGCGTTCTCCTTCCACTTGGCGCAGCACAGGGATCTCGGCTGGGGCTCCAGGACGATGCCGTCCAGCTTCTGGGCTCGGGAGTAGAAGTCGCTCATGCTCCGCATCAGCTGGCTGAAGGGCAGGAGGTGCTCCTTCAGCCGCAGCCAGAACTCGGACGGGTCTCGGACGAAGGACACCTTGGCATGGTAGAACACTCCCACCTTCACCCGCACGCCCGGCAGGTGGGCACTGGCCGGGTCCCTCTGAGCCGCAGTTGCGGGGAGTGTGTCCGGCGGCGGCCCCAGCTCCTTAGGAGGGGCGGCGTCCTCCTCTTCCGGCCGCTCCTGCGCTCCCTGGCCGCCCCGCAGCAGGCTGTGGGCCAGACAGCCGCTCTGCACCCCGTAGAGGCAGTTCAGGTTGAGGCCGTTCTCCCCATACAGGTTCACGTAGTAGAGGTGCTCGAAGGGACTGTAGGTTTCGATGCGGGCGCTCACCGCCTTGCCCAGCAGCAGCGCCTTGAGCCCGCTGAGCTGGGAGCAGGACCAGCCGCAGCCCCTGTCCGAGATGCCCTGCAGGGCGCACGGGTAGGTCACTACCGGCATGCGGAAACACTCCAGGGGCAGGCGGCGGAGGTTAGCCCCGATGACGAATTCCTTCCTGCCGTAGTCCACGCAGATCACCTGGACCACCAGCCGACCCTGCTCCCCGGGGAAGATCTCCAGCAACAGCGCGCGGTACCAGCGCCCGTCTATGCAGCGTGCGGCGCAAGGGGCGCCCGGCTTGGGTAGCGGATCCTGCTCCCGCCTGGCCGCCGCCTCGTACCTCTGGTGCAAGGAGTCCGAGAGGCGCTGGATCTCCTGGGAGAGGCTCTGCAGCTGGCAATAGACGTGGTGCGGGTCGGAGATCTGGGTCACTAGCACCGGCTCAGTCACCCCCAGCTGCAGCCGTGGGTAGAAGAAATCCAGGGCGGCCGGGCCCGGCTGGGGAGTGGTAGCAAGAGGGTACTGCTGAGCCGAAGTAGGGCCGGGGGGCTCCGGCTTGGGCTGGCCGTGCAGGCAGGGCGCTGCCAGGCAGCGCTTGAGCAGGGCTCGGAAGCAGCTGGGAGTGACCTGCTTGGCCAGGCCCAGGTGGTGCATCTGGGCCAGCAGCGAAGGCAGCTCGAGCAGGACCAGGCACTGCGGCATCAGCACCTCTCGCACCAGCCCCGACACCTCCTTGGCGTGCAGGTAGTTCAGGAACTCCAGGGCGCCCGCCGTCCAGCTGGCGGCCGGCTGCTCCCCGCTGCCCGCCACGGCCGCCCCGTCTCCCGGCGGCACCAGGTCGGCCAGCACGCAGCCCAGCACCTCGGAGGGCAGGTGGAAGAATTCGTCCCTGCCCCGGGCCAAGTAGTAGGCGTCGGCCGCCACCGTGCGACCCTCGTCCAGCAGGAAGACTCGGCAGCGCTGGCCTTGGCGGCTCACGACCCGGCAGCGGTGCCAATGGTCCCCTAGTTCCACCAGGCACAGGTCCCCCGAGCACAGCCCGGCCCCCGCCGCCGGCCAGACGGCTCCCGGGGCGCCGACCAGGCGCGGCCCGGCCTTAGCCTGGATGTCCTGGTGCAGCCGGGCATACTCCTCCCGGCGCTCGCCCAGCAGGCCCCACAGCCGCACTAGCGGCACCTCCGGGTGAACGTCCACGAAGGAGACCCTCAGGCTGATGGTGGTGCCGGGACTGGGGATCCCCTGCACGGAGCACATCCCGCAGCGCTGCGCGGCCGCCCCCTCCGCGCGCCCTGGGAAGGGAGCTAGCGGCCGTTCAGCTGGTCTAGAGGCACGTGACCACCCCAAACTGCCCAGCACGAGACTGACCAGCTACGCCTATAGCGCTGCACTGTCATAGGCTGTTCTTCCCCACGTGACCCGTTCCGTCGCCGCCGGGTGGTCCGTGGGCTTCACTAGAAAGAAAGTCCGTTAAACGTCCGAGCTTTGTGTTAGGAGGGAGGCTGCGTTGGTCTGGTCCATTTTGCCCGGGAGGGGGGTGGGTAAGACCAGGTTGGCGGCTCTGCTGTCAGCGGGGAAGGAAGGAAGGGTGTGAGGGCCAGAAATAACCCTTGGTGCAGGCCTGTGGCAGGGGGAATGGCGGTGGGATAGGCCTGCTCCTGCTCTCTGGCTCACACAAAGCCTACTGGGCTCTGTCCCAACCTGTCGCCTTGCTAGGCTGCACCTGGCTGCTCAGGGTGAAGCATTTCATGCTGAGAGGTGTCTACAGGCTACTGGGGCTCCAGGCAAGCCAGGGCATGCCGGGGCTTGTTTACATGCTACTTGACATCAGGGGAGAGCATTGCATGCTGGGAGGGACCTGCTTTTACAGGCTATTTGGGCTGAGGACCAAGCATTGCATGCTGGGAGCTGTCTCCACAGGCAACTCAGGCTCAGGGTGAAGCATTACTCTATGGGACTTGCCTACAGACTACTTGAGGTCCAGGTGAAGTGTTGGATGTTGGGACCTGTCACTGCATACTGCTCAGGGTGAAGCATTTCATGCTGGGACCTGTCTCTGTAAATGGCAGCTTGGGCTCAGTGTTAAGTGCTGGGAATTGTCCGTGGGCCGCACCCAGCTGCTCAGTTCAAACTGTGGTTGTGATGCCAGTGCACAGTTGGGAGCATGTTTCTGTGTGGGTGCAATCTGTGTTACACCTCTACTAGCAGGATCACATGGTTAGCATGTAACATTTCTCTAAGGCACACAAGCTGAGGGCTGGGTGTTAAGTCCAGCTCCCCAAAAACACAGGACAATAAGATCCTAAAATTAGCCATCAGGTGTCATAAAGTAGTTTTGCAAATTAGCAGGATAGGGACAGCTGTAACTTAAACAGCTTCCCACATCTGTCTGTGGGCCACTGCACCAGCCCAGAATAGCCAATGCACAAATCAAACCATCTGTACCCCAGAGCTGATACACCCCTGCAGCAGGGCTGAACTGGGGCAAGTGAGTATAAGGGTATTACACCACTCCTATGATCTCCAGGGAGTCATCCTGGGGAATTTCTAGATAGGATTATCTATCTGCATTTCTGTGGCATAGAGGAGAGGGAATGCAGCTCAGAAATGAGGCCAGCAGGTCTAAACACATTTTAAAATGTACTGTTTCAAGAAATTTGATACACTACATAATTGGCAATGTTGACCAAGTAATACAAATAAACAAGGTTAAGATTTTGTCACAGATATTTTTAGTAAAAGTCATGGGCAATAAAGAAAAAATAATGGAAGCCTGTGATCTGTCCATAACTTTTTCTAAAAATATCCTGTAGGGGTTTGGAGCTCCAGGATCCCCCTACAACCCAGCAGCTCTGGGGTACCCCCACTGCCTGCAGTGGCCCAGAGTTCTGGGGGGCCCCCACTGCCTGCATCTCCCTGCAGGCAGGGGGACCTTGCAGCTCCTGGCTGCTACGGGCTGAAGTCATGGAGGTCGCTGGAAGTCACGGATTCCATGACTTCCGTGACCTCTGTAAAAAAATCGTAGCCTTACATATAAATGTACACCAAAAAAAATCAAACGTAGGCGTTTAAAACAAAGCACCTAAATAAGAATGGCCTGATTTTCAGAGAGGCTTAGTTTCCCACTGAAGTAAATAAGAATTATGGTCACTTTACATGGCTGAACATCAGACAATTTATTCAGCTGTCTAATGGATTTAAGTGTCTAACTTTGGGCACCTACGTTTGAACATTGTGGCCTGGGTGTTTATTACTGTGCATTAGTGTATTTGGCACTTAACGGACTTACAACTTTTAATACTTACATTTTAATTTATTTGTAAACATAAAGCATGCCAGATATCTGCCATCAATATTAAACTTTATTAAGCATTATGCTTCTTCCTTAAATATTTCTTGCCTAGGTCCAGCTTTAGTAAGAGCCAAACAGTGTCTTTCATCAAAATGCTGTAATACACTGAAGAGTGACTGTAAACATAGCATCTGAAGAGATAGTTACCTATGTGTATCCACAGATACGTCTACTTTGGTGGCCAGACTTGCAGGGCCACTGAAGGTGAGGGCAGAATTTTGCCTGCAGATTTATTATTGATTGTGATGATGTGTGAGAAATAAGGAAATCAGGTTGAGTTTTCAGGACAGTTAGGAAAAAAAATTCTACTTATGAACAGAAAACATTTGACATCAGAGACACTGAGACAGGACCCTGGGACCTTGCATTTTTACAGAGCAATTTTTCAGAGCAGGCTTGCACTTTATGTTCCAGCACACTGACCAAATGTTGGCCAGTGTCAGCTGGTTGTATCCTCCCCTCTCCTCTGCAATCCAGACAGCATTTGGAGGGTGTCTGGTTAGACAGGCTATAGTTTTGATCCTCCGATTGCAGAATGTTGTTCAGTTTCCATTCCCCCTGATTAAGATATTCAAAATGTTCATAACATCATTGAACAATTTGTAGATTGAAAATATTTTGTGTTTTATGATCAAAAATCCAGTAACATGTAGGCCAGAAGTGGGCAACTGTGGCCCGCGGGACCCTCCTGCCCAGCCCTGGGAGGCTTGCCCCCGGCCCCTCCTCTGCTGTTCCCCCTCCCCGCAGCCTCAGCTCACCCCACTGCCGACGCAGTGCTCTGGGCAGCGGGGCTGCGAGCTCCTGGGGCAGCGCAGCTGCAGAGCCACGGCCTGACCCAGTGCTGTGTGCTGTGCAGTGGTGTGGCTGGCTCCCGCCGGGTGTCGCAGCTGCCTCTTTTGCTGCTCTGGGCAGCGCGGCTGTAGTGCCGCCAGCCACCGGTGCTCCAGGCAGCGTGGTAAGGGGGCAGGGAGTGGGGGGGTTGGATAGAGGGTAGGGGAGTTTGGGGTGGTGGTCACAGGGGCGGGGGTGTGGATGGGGTCAGAGCGGTCAGAGGGCGGGGAACAGGGGTTGAATGGGGGCAGGGGTCCCAGGGGGGGAAGTCAGGAAGGAGAGAGGGGGTTGGATGGGGCAGCGGGGGGCAGGGATTCCGGGGGCAGTCAGGGGACAGGAAGAAGGGGTGGTTGGATGGGCATGGGGGGGGGCAGTCACGAAGGAGACAGGGGGGTTGGATGGAGCAGCGGAAGGTCCGGGGGCTGTCAGGGGACAGGGAAAGGGGAGGGTTGGATGGGGCAGGACCATCCCCCAGGGGGGACCATCAGGGGGCAAGAAGCTGGGGGGGGGTTAGACAGAGGGCGGGGACCAGGCCACGCCTGGCTGTTTGGGGAGGCACAGCCTCCTCCCCAAAACCAGATGCCACCCTCAGGCCAAAAAGTTTGTCCGCCCTTGATGTAGGCGGACTGAGGGCAGGTACTATACATGTTTTTACACCACGTTCTGCTGGTACAAATTAGTCCTGACCTGCTAACTTGCCACTGGGGTTCTCAAAAGACACCTCTGTCCAAAAGACCTGCTGTGGGACTTAAGCAGTCTCTAGTCATTGTGATTCCCTCTGTACTGGTGAATTTAATCAATAGCACAGTAGTGTGTCCAATCAGTAGTGGTGGTGTGAAGTGGGTATACATCCATTGAGAAATAAGTTGAGCCTATCACTTTCTTTCACGTGTTATATCAAACATATCTGAGGCCAAGTCTGCACAGCTGAATCTACTGTATTAACCTATTACAGCACCTAGTACTTAATGCTTGGTTTGTTAAGAAATGACAGACTTCTAATGAAGAGATAGCTATAGGAGATTTTCCTTTGTGTGTGTGTGTGTCTCTCTCTCTCTCTAATTCTCATGAAAGGCTCCAAAATTTACACTCGAGTCTTATTTATCCACAGAACATGTATAATGCACAATTAAAAAGGTACGTGTTCTATAGCACTACCTAGAGCTCAATCATGTCTCATCCTCATTTACAGGAACCCTCTCTAGGATTAAAAAGGTAATTCAGTGCACTTGCTCAGTAAGTTATTTTGCTTCTGCTGAATCTTGCAGCACGGCTGGTACTTATTGCTAGTTGGGAGTCGTGCTTTTTGTGATGGACACTTATGCCATGGAGACCACCAACTCTGCTTTAGCAACCACCTCTGAAGAGAGACCACCTCTCACATGCGACTACTTGCAGAAGCCACGGAAAGTTTTTACCTTATAATTTAACTGCGAAGAAACTGTAAAGAGAGATGATCTGTCATCTGCAACCAGCAACCACATTTTCTTTACTCCCATTCATAAACACAAACCTGTAGGAGAAACTGATCTTCGCTTCAGTAGGAATCTGGTGTACCGTACCAGGCCACCCTTACTTCTGCACTTTGCTGGAGATGGCACTGCTGGTGAGAATGGCTGAGCCGAGCACCCAGCCAGCAGCCAATGCTCTCCCATGTGCAAACCTTTGAAGAGTGACCACCTCTTACAAGAGACCACTTTTGCTAACTCCCATGAGTGGTCGCTCTGGCAGGTTTTACTGTACTGTAGTCTGTCAAGTGGCAATCAGAAGGTAATATTAAATCACTGTCAACGAGACTGAATTTGAAGTGATGACCTAAAGGTGAGAGACTATTGCCAGTCTCCTAAAATAACCAGTTTCCTTAGGGATGGAGTGTTTTATTGATGATCTACTGGATTTCCAATTCTGTTTTATTTGTTATGTGATTATTAATACATGCTTTCAAGATCTTAAAAAGAACTAACTCCGCAGATCCTTCTAATTTGTTCATAGGTAAGCCAGAATACCAATGACCAAGGAGCCTGCAAAAGTAATCACACAAATTATTACAAACTTAGAACAGAGGAAACATTTTAGTAAGTATTCATTAGCCAGTTTAACAGGGATAAATACATAACTATATTAAAGTGTTTGTCTTAGCTAGATTATAAGAAGTTTATGGAGGGTGTCGTATTGTATGTTGCCTATAGTTAAAGTTGCCCAGCCTTTCCCATAAAGACCCTCTTTCCAATTTATTTTGCTAAAATGTAACCCTTTGGGCTGAAATTTTCCATGCCAGGCATCTGCTGCAGGCTGAATTTTTTCAGAAAAGTTTCAGCAAAAATTGTTCAGCTGTTTCCAAAAATGAAATTAGGGGAAAATTTGACAGGGTGCTTGTCTGTGTCAGAGATGTGCTTTTGCTTTTTTCTATGAAAAATCACCCAAATTTGGCCAAATTAACCTTTAAGAAAAAAAATCTCAGTTGGCACATGCTCAGTAGAGACTTGTTAGAGTTTGGCTGCTAAATTCTCTGAAGATTCCATCTGTACTGGGCATAGTCTAGCCCAGGGATGCAGTAGCTGAGTAGGACCTTCCTTGCAATAGTTCTTTCCAGCTGCTGGGATACCAGGCACAGGAACTGAGAGCAGAAAGATTTTCTTTCCTGTGCTCTCTTTGCTGGTGCCCAGGTACCCTGAAAGAGGAAGCTGCTTGACTTGAATGCAGAGAACAAGAATCAGACTGGGTGGGAAGGGAAGTGGGGGGAGTAGATTGGTGCCAGTGGGACTGGGACTACTTGGCAAAGGAGACTGGGAGCTGGGGAAAAGAAACCAGGGGATTGAGAATAAGTGGGTGGGTAGAAGACGGACATTGGATAAGGACCCAGAAGAGAGGGAGACTGGAACAAGGAGCCTGGGGGAGGTGAGGAGGTGAGAGTGGTTGGACAAGAAGACTAGGGCAAGCGGAGTAATAAAATCACATTTGTTTTGGAATATAGTATCCACACAGAGAGTTACACTGACATAGCTGTAGCAGAATAATTATCCCACTATAGCTATGCCTGTCTGCTTCCCTGGGTAGACAAGCACATGGCTTATGAGATCTGAGAACTTGACAATTCAGGATGAGTGAAGGCAGGCACATAACCAGACCCAAAGCTCTGTCAGTACACATCAATCTTGATCTGCAACATCCCTATTATTCCAGGCCTGGATCCTCTTCTGAGCAAACACTAACGGTCACGTCAGCCAATGTGGTTGGTTGGTGGAGTGGACAAATGAGAACTCTAATCTAGCTAAGGAGTTTTTATGGTGCCTATCAAGAAGGTATTTAAACACTGAGACCAGTCTTTCCCATGTAACCGTAGGCAAGGCTTGGGTTCATGCCTCCAGATGTAAATGACTAGTGTACTAAGAATGCACACTAATTCACTTTATTTTAAAAACCTCATATTAATATTTTCCAAGTTTAATGATCTAGTAAATGCAACAAAGGACTATGAAATACATATTTTAATATCAGTATTGCTGTAAGGTGTTCTGTGTAGTTCTCTAATTGTTTTAGGACCCAATCCTGCAGGGTGCTTAGTGCCTCCTACAAAGCACTCCAACTTCAGTTCCCAGCAAAGTCAATGGGAATTGAAGGCATTCAGCATCTGGCAGGATAAGACTCTTAACGCATCTCAGGAAACCCTGTAGTTGTACAACACTGCATTACAAACTATCTAGTTGTAAAGAGTTTATACTAAAAGAGGGGAAAAAAGTCATTTACCATTCGCATCCAGGTTGGTAAAAAGCCTTTGTATAGAGAAATAAATCCTTCACCTTGTATAGCTTGAATCAAGCAGTCTGCAGAAGACTTGTACAGCAGTCCTCTAGCAATGAGGAAGGAGAACAAAATGAAGTTGGTGTTACAAATACACAAGTAGACTGTAGGAAATGAAAGTGTTTCAGCACCATCACCCCTGCCCAATATAACACCCCCAAATCTTCCATCAGGGTAGCTCCTATGAAAGGTTACATTTAGAAACAAGATCCCCAGCGTAGACTCTCTGAAGTCAATGAAGCTATACCAGGGATTAATTCAGCCCAAAAAGTAAACTATATGTAAAGTTGTCCTTTAGTTTAAAGTATAGTTATGGACCATTACTACAAAAATAGCTTTTCTATGCAAAAATAAACACCAAGACAATAAAGCAGAAAGATAAGAGTAGACTAGAGATCCAAGGCCTGTTGTATCGAAGAAATCAATGTGAATCTTTCCATTGACTTCATTGGGAGTTCAGTTCAGGTCCCAAATTACTACTGAAGTTGGGAAATACCCTCTCAGAAATATCCATACCTTCCCTGTTTATCTCTTGGTTGGTTCATTATCCGTGTTTTGACGACATCAGCAGGAGTTCCCAGGATAGCGGCTACCAGGCCAGAACACACACTATCAATAAAAAAACACTATTTGAAGAAAAAACATATCAAGGTTTATCATCCCAATTCAACCACCTAGATCTCAGTTTCAAAAATAAAGACATTTGTAGGGCTGTTGACATTAAACCATGATTAATGCCTTATAAAACTTAATGTGGGTTTCCCAGTTAGGACAGAGCTGGGAAAAACTGCCTCAGCTCTGACACTCATGTATCTCCACTCAGAACCAGTTGCCCTGGCTTCATTGGTACAATGTGAGGCATGCAGGGTCAAGTGCCCCCCTAGATTTCTGCTTGGCCTGCCTGGTGGAGGAAAGGAGAGGGGCTCCCTTCTCTTGCTGCGGGTGCGCCCCAGCAAGCTCCACCCTTGTCTCTGGCAGCCGAGCCTGGGCGGGGAGCAGAAAGGGCAGGACCAGCAATTCTGTGCAGCACAGAAGCTGCCTGTGAGAGCCTGGCTACGGCAGTGGCCTGCCCTGCCCCCTCTGCTCCCCACCTGGGCCAGGCTGCCAGGGACTGGGCCCGAGCAAGCCAGAAATGTGATGGGGGAGGGAGGGCTCCAGCTCGCTCAGCACTTGTCTTGGGCAGCCAGGCTGGGCGGGGAGCAGAGGCGGTGGGCCAGCCTGTGCCACCGCCCCAGCCAGGTTCTCTCTGACAGCCGCTGTGCTGCACAGAGTCAGCGACCTGGAGTGGCCAGTTTCAGCTGCTGTAAGAAGCGGCTCCATCCCGCTCCCTGCCTGGGCCCAGCTGCCAGGGACAGGTTCCGAACATGCTTGGGGAGGCGCACCGGGAGAAGGACAGAGCCCCTCCCATCCCCACTGGTAACTGCTGGAGCGGGGAGAGCGGGGCAGCCCCAGGTAGGGTGCAGGGCAGGGAGGTCGCTGGGCAGAGGAAACACATGGGGTGGTCATGTGTCTTCCCATTAGATTGTGCCCCCTTCCTCCCCCGCCCAGTATCAGGAGGCACAAGTCATCATGAGGTAGTACATATCCTTGAAGTACAGCTGGAAATCTTGTGGAGCATGGGACCTTCCTAAGGGAACTACATGCACAAATACTCAAACACCAGGAAACTCTCTCTGGGAAAATACAGTGTATGTAGGTACTGTAGAATCACACCATAATAGTTCTGTGGAGCCAAGAATACAACAAAATAGAACAGTAGATTATACTGGGACAGAGGAAAAATGAATAAAGACCAGATGGGATAATGGAAGGTAACTGGTATAAATTAGCATTGCTTCACTGACTTTAACGGAGCTATACTGATTTACAACAGCCAAGGATCTGGCCCGTCACTAACAACTCCCAAAATGCAATCCTAATCCATTTAAAGTCTTGTAATTTTGGATATGTGTGACTAGTGAAATTAAGGCATCCATGGAGATTACAGTGCATCACAAACTGAATGAGCCAAACATGTCATGCAGTTGTGAAAAAAGCTAATATTTTTTCAAGTGTATTAACAGAGTGTCATGTGTAAGACACATAGGAGGTAGTTGTTCTGCTCTACTCGGCATTGATGAGGCCTCAGCTGCAGTGCTGAGTCCACTTTTGGGCACCACACTTTAATAAAGAAGTGGAAAAACTGGCAAGCCTCTGAAGGAGAGCAACAAAAATAATAAAAAGATTTAGAACACCTGACCTATGAGGAAAGGTTCAAAAAGAACTGGGCATGTTTAGTCTTGAGAAAAGAAGACAAAAAGGGGCCCTGGTAAGTCTTCAGATATGTTAAGGGGCTGGCATAGAGGACAGTGATCAATTGTGTTCCCTGTCCACCAAAGGTAGGGCAAGAAGTAAATCAGCTTAATCTGCATCAAGGGAGATATAGTTAGAAATTTTCCCCTAATATAGTTAAATACTGGAATAGGTGACCAAGGGAGGTTGTGTAATCCATCATTGGAGGTTTTTAAGAACAGGTTAGACAAACACCTGTCAGGGATGGTCTATGTATACTTGGGCTCACCTCAGTGTAGGGGGAGAAGGGAAGAGACTAGATGACCTCTCTAGGTCCCCCCTCAAACCCAACATTTCTATGATTCTGTCAGTCAAAGTGATTGGAAAACACTAGAAGTGACATACTCTGCAAGATTAATGGTCTTTCTAGTTTAGGAGCCAATCTTTGACAGGGCCAGATACTTCAAAGGAAAATATAAAAGCATCATAACAGACAATTATGCAATATCATGCCTGAGGGAGAAGTTTCTTCCTAGTCCCAGTGAGTTAGTGTTTGTTTTATATCCTGACATATTAGGGTTGATATTCTTCTCTCTCACCATTTGGCACATTTAAAATTAGACTGGACAAAGCACCAGAAAAATCTAGAAAAGGGAAGAATCCTGCAATGGCAGAGATGAGGGGACAGATCATCTTTTTTCTTTTTTCCATGTTATGGGCCATATTCTTTGCTGGTTTAAATTGTCATAGCCACACTGACGTCAATGTAGCTATACCAGTTTGCCCCAGCTGCAGATCTGATCCTATGATTCTAGGACCTAAATTGTGCCAGGACTGAGGGGGGAAAAAACGATTTAAGGACCAAATAAAATTAACTGGAAAAAGAGTTATCTGCATGACACATCCACAATTTCTATAACTGGGGGGGGGAGACATGCTGCTACTGAACCTGTTAGTATCTGGGG